CTAAAAGACACAGGCATTCCAATTTCTTCACATCTTCATCAACACTTGTTATTTTCTAGGTTTTCTTTTCCCTTATCATAGTTGTACTAATGGGTGTGAGGTGGTATCTCACTATGGTTTTGATTCACATTTCTTTAATAATTAGTGATGTTAAGCACCTATTCATGTGCTTATTGGCCATTTGTATATCTGTTTTGGGGGGTGGGGAGAAATATGTATTCAAGTCGTTTGCCCATTTTTGATTGGGTTGTTTTGTTTTTGTTGAGTTCACCCTAAATCCTTCTTGAAACAAGGTAAAAAAAGGGAGAAAAGTGTTAACATAGATGTAAGGTATCATACTCTTCATTATTATCCAATCTTTTAGAAACCATGATATGCACATACATGTTCCAGAACATTCCAGGAAACGTTCACTTATGTTAAGTTCCATTGATCTGGCTATGACTGTCTATGTTTCCTACCTCCAACCACAGAAAATATCCATATACATATCGAAAACACACTGGTCATGATTTATTTCCTCTTCTTGTTTGTTACCAACACCTCCACCATTGTCACCCTCTACACACTGATTTAAAATAAACAAGGAGGAATTCCAGTCAGTTTACATATTCAGCACTAAGAAATGATGGAGAATTTGTGGAACATCCATTTGGTGGTCATTAGAAATATTGTTTAAAAGTGTGTAATGACATAGGAATGGCTTGAGTAAAAATAGCAAGACACAAAATTATACATATGATACAATTTCAGCTCTGTTCTTTCTTATACATTGAAATGTTTTGGTACATAGAAAATTTTTACACGTAGAAAAAAGAAATGTATTTAAAGTTTGTCAACTACTACAATGAAATATTTACTTGGATAATCAGAAATACAAAAAGTTTTTTAAAAAGAAGAGAAAAATTAATAAAAGAGAAGTTAAAAGCCAAGTGACTACATATGAAAAAGTATATCAAAAGTTAGCAGTTTTCATCCTGAGCAACATGGCAAAACCCCATCTCTACAAAAAAAATCCAAAAATTAGCTAAGTGTAGTGGCTCATGCCTATGGTCCCACCTACCTGTGAGAGTGAGGTGAGAGGATCACTTGAGCCAGGAGGCAGAGGTTGTAGTGAGCCATGTTCACGCCACCGCACTCCAGCCTAGGTGACAGTGAGACCCTGTCTCAAAAAAAAAAAAAAAAAAAAAGTTTTAAATCCTTTTTAGAATAAGGCAAGTTAGGAAGGTATGACTGAATAGAAATTGATGAGTACTAAAAAGCTGAAATACATTATTGGAATTCAGTGCATTTCTTGACAAGACAGTGGATTTGAACCACTGTAGTAAGGGGAGGTATGTTCTTTACTATCCTTTATGAATTTAACTATGTATAAGGAAAGAAAAATCAATCTGTGTTGGTAAACTGGTTCATTGCCATAATAGTACTAGTGATTGCTAATGTTTACGTACTATGTACCAGGCATTGTGCTAAGTGACTGATATGGTTGGGCTGTGTCCGCAACCAAATCTCGTCTTGAATTCTCTTGTGTTGTGGTGGGAGGGACCTGGTGGGAGGTAATTGAATAGTGGAGACAGGTCTTTCCTGTGCTGTTCTCGTGACAGTGAATAAGTCTCATGAAATCTGACAGTATTATAAAGGGGAGTTTCCCTACACAAGCTCCTCTCTGCCTGCTGCCATCCACGTAAGATGTGACTTGCTCTTCCTTGACTTCAGCCATGATTGTGAGGCCTCCCCAGCCATGTGAAACTGTAAGTCCAATAAACCTCTTTCTTTTGTAAATTGCCCAGTCTTGGGTATGTCTTTATCAGCAGTGTGAAAACAGACATATACGGTGACACACATGCACCATCTTCAGAGGCTCCAGAATCCCCATATGGGGCAGGTTTGAGAATGTAATTTGGTTGGAGAGCAGGGCTAAGGGACTTGAGGTGGCATAGGAGACCCACTGTCTTTTCTTAAACTATAGGTTTATTTGGAATTGCTTAAGAGAGCTGATGGCGATTATGCATGTGTAGTAATAGTGCTCTAAAGCCCCAAAAAGTGACAAGTCACTTCTTGGTTCCACCACTGCTGATTTCATTGAATCCTCACAATAATCCAGTAAGGCAAAATCGGTTATTACTCCCATTTTCTACATGAGAAATCCCAGACTTAGAGAAGTTAATAATTTGGTTAAAGGTCACATAGGTAGGAAATGTCAGAGCCTCATTTGAAAATAAGTCGGACTCCTGAACCCGTGTTCTTTGCTACGGTATTCTACTCCCATTCGTACAAGGACTAGCCTTGGCCAAAAGTTGGCAAATGGATTTTACCTACCCACAGAAAATGGCTCAGATCAGACTCGACACACACACACACACACACACACACACATGCACACTCTTCTACTGAATTAAAAAAGAAATAGCCAAGGGGAAACTACTGATTAAATATAATAAAATATATTATGTTGAAAACAACATTATTTAACAAACAAGACCTTTTCACTAACTTGATAATGCATCATTTGGTTTTCGAGGATGAATTGCACTGACTACAAATGAGTCAGATTCCTCAGAAGGGTCTTAAAATACATATAATAAATCAGGTATTAAAAAGCCAAACACATAAAGGGATTTGTGATGAACAGGATAAGCACAACCCACTCTGAAAAGTGCGGCCTGAGATTTAAGTTTAGACTATTGCTCAAAGGGGAGGCTTGTTTTTCCACAAAGAGAATGCAAGGGATTCTCCCTACCTCAGTGCCCCCAGCTTCGTGGGGCAGTCTTACCTGTCCTTGAAGATCTTGGTCGCAATTGGATCTATTAAAAATTTTAAGGACTATTAAAGCTATGCTATTAAAAACTGCATATTAATGTTGGAAAACATCAATTTGAAAAGAATTTACAAAGTACTATTAGGATGTAAAACCCTTTTTTGGTAAAATGAACAAATAAAGATATGCTTATATGCAGAAATACGTAGTCAGCAAAACCACTGAAAAGAAATACACTAAAATATGTTAACAGCAAATTTTTTTCCTCCCTTCTCTTCCCTCCCCTTCCCATCTCTCCTTCCTTCCTTCCTTCCTTCCTTCCTTCCCTCCCTCCCTCCCTCCCTCCCTCCTTCCCTCCTTCCTTCCCTTCACTCTGTTGCCATGGTTGTAGTGCAATGGCATGATCTCAGCTGACTGCAGCCTTGACCTCCCAGGCTCAAGCGACCCTCCCACCTCAGCCTCCTGAGTAGCTGAGACTACAGGCACGTGCACCACACCTGGCTAATTTTTTGTATTTTTAGTAGAGATGGGGGTTTCACCATGTTGCTCAGGCTGGTCTTGAACTCCCGGGCTCAAGCAATCTGCCCACCTCAGCCTCCCAAAGTGTTGGGATTACAGGTGTGAGCCACCATGCCCGGCCAACAGCAATTTTTTCTGATGTTCTGATGGGTGATTTTTATCTTATTACTCTCTGGTTTTTTGTGTGTATTTACCTGGTATTCTGGATTAAATTTACTAATTTGCAATTAGAATAAAATGACTTAAAATGAAAGACATTGGTCAGGTGTGGTGGCTCACGCCTGTAATCCCAGCACTTTGGGAGGCCGAGGTGGGTGGATCACATGAGGTCAGGAGCTTGAGACCAGCCTGGCCAACATGGCAAAACCCCATCTCTACTAAAAAGACAAAAGTTAGCCGGGTGTGGTGGCACATGTCTGTAACCCCAGCTACTTGGGAGGCTGAGTCAGGAGAATTGCTTGAATCCGGGAGGTGGAGGTTGCAGTGAGCCGGGATGGCACCACTGCATTTCAGCCTGGGCGACAGAGTGAAAGACTCCATGTCAAAAAAAAAAAAAAAAAAGACATCGTTGCCATACCTACTTTTTAATGTCAGTACAGCAGGTTATGGTATGGAATGCATTTTTGGAACAAGATATTAACAAAAATTCAAAGGAACAAATACACGGCCATGGAATTCCAGTACTGAGAGACATTTGGGAATATTGGGGGAGTTTTCCAAAAGAGGGACTCAGGTGACCATATTTGTTAAATGAATAACAAAAGGAAACAGAAAGAAAAGGAAGAGAGAAGTACAAAGATCTGAGAAGAGAAGGTGCCAGGGGCTGCTGAGAAATGGCCAAATGTTAATTTCATTATTTGGCTTCTTATTTTATTCTGGGTAAAGGTAGACCTATTAGTTTCCTGTTGCCACCATAATAAATTACCACTAACTTAGTGGCCTCGAGCAACGCAAATTTATTCTTTCAAAGTTCTGGAGGATAGAAGTCCAAAAATGTGTCTTATCAGCTGAAATCAAAGTGTCGTGTTCCTTCTGGAGGCTCTAAGGAGAATCTCTTCCTTCTCTTTTCTAGTTCTAGAGGCCATCTGTGTTCCTTGGCTCATGTCCTTCTTTCAGCAATGGCATCACTCTGACCTTTGCTTCCATTGTCACATCTCCTCAACTCTGACCCTTTTGCCTCCCTCTAACAAGGCCTCTCTGATTACACTGGGCCCACCAGATTATTCAGGATAGCCTCTTTGTCTCAAGATCCTTAATTTAATCATATCTGCCAAGGGTTTGGTTTTGTTTTGTTTTTGCCATTTAAGGTAACATATCCACAAGTTCTGGGGATTAGGACGTGGACATCTTTGAGGCAGACATTTCCCAACCTACCATACAAGGAAACCAGTAGGTAAGGTTCTACTACCTACTAAATGCATCATAAACAGCACTTCTTCTAATCCTTCAACAACTCTGTGAAATATATGACAGAATTTGCTTTTAAAGTTGAAGAAATCAAGCCTTGGTGCAATTTGCGATTTTGCCCATGGTTAAATAGTGGGGAGGCAAACTCAGGTCCCTGAACCCAGCTCAAGCCTGCCTGCCTCATGGCCCTGCCTCTATTCACCTCTCCCCTTCATGTCTACTTCCTCTTTCCTGTCTGGGCCTGTTCCCCAGCTCCCTGGACAAGCTTAAGCTGCTGTTTTCTAGCTTGTCATGTGCTCCTGATGACAGTGTAGCCACAGGTTGATCTTAGCGATTGCTGATTGAGCGAGCTGAGTGGCTGTCCCTCAGAATCTTCTCTTAGGCCTTTCTCTTGCCTTCCTTTATTCAGTAAGTGTTTTGAGCTTATTGTGCTGGGTGCTAGAGTAGCAGGGAGGACAGACCTAAGCTGAAGATTACAGGACAATCTAAGTGACACCTGCTATCTCAGACATAGAGACTACAGCATCATAGGGAGCCAGAGCAGGGAGTTCCAAGCCCTGGGAACTGTGTGACTCTTTCTTATTGACCCTTAAGCAAAAACCTAAGCTCCAGGGAAGCAGAGGCAGCAGCTTGAGCTCCCTGATTGACCAGATACGATTAATCTTTGTTTCTCTGTGCTTTGAACATGACTGTGCTCCATAAATATTAAAAAGTTGGGAAGAGGGGTGAAGACAGATACACCAAAAGGAGCAAACAGTGTCTGAAACCAGCAAAGGGTTAAAAGTTACCAAAGAAGGTGCTCATGCTTTCGTTTTGTCTTTTTTTTAACCTAGCAACTGATGACATTGCATATTTTCCCCTGTTCTTATTGGGAGAAGGCCCTGTGTGTCACTCAGTTGCTAAATCACCCAAGAGGTTCTCAGAAGGGACCTGTCAGTTTTAGGTTTAAAGAACCCAGAAAGAGAAGGACTATAGGGGAACTGATGGTGTTCCTGTTACCTCTCGTCGTTGTAGTAATGGTGAAGCACAGCGATTCCCGTGAGTATCCCATGTTCTTTTCTCTCCTAACTCCAAGTTGAGGCAGCCTAGAAGGAACAGCTTTTCTTCCTAAAACTTGTGGCGAAAAACATAGAAGCCGGGGGCAGAAAAGTGTATGTATTACACTCAGGACTCCAGGAGCAATGGACTACCTGAACAGTTTCCCAGTTTATATTTGTAAGATTTTGATATCACCACCTTCTGAGGGAGGGGGTTCTAGAAAGACTCTGGAACGTCCCCACTTTCCCTCTGAGCATGGCCTCCTTTCTTTTCTGCTCATATTTTTTCTTTTACTTTTGTTTCTCCTCTTTTCTAACTTCCAGAGTCTCATGAGGATGTAGTCAGAGTTTCAGGGGCGTTAACAGTGGAGCAGATCCATTGTTCAGGTTTATTTATGTTTTCCCTCCTCAACACAAGCCCTACCTGTAACAAAAGATCCAAGAAAGATAAAACCATGGCTCTGGCTTTGTTTACTGGCAGTGAGAAATATTAATCAAGTAGAAGGGAGAGTTTTTCACTGGGGAGCTCAAGTCACTGGGGAAGCAAATGCCTTCTGTTGCCTCAAATAGGCGAAAAGGCCCATGGGCTAGAACCACCAGGCTTCTCTGCCCTAGGCACCTGCTCTTTGGGCTGAGGACTGGTATTGGTGGGCAGTGTACCACCAGTAGACTTGGCCACCACCATAGGTGTGACTGATGGACATGAGAGGAAGAAGTTCTTTCAAATCACCCATGCACATAGAAAGTGGAATGATTGACAATGGAGATTTGGAAGGGCGAGGGGGGTGGATGATGAGAAATTATTTAATGGGTACAATGTGTGTTACTTGGGTGATGGATACCTTAAAGCCCCAACTTGACCACTACACAGTCTATGCTATAATAAAATTGCACGTTTACATCGTAAACTTACACAAATTAAAAAATTTAAAAATCATATGGCTGGGAGTGGTGGCTTACGCCTGTAATCCTAGCACATTGGGAGGCCAAGGCAGGCGGATCACTTGAGGTCAGGAGTTTGAAACCAGCTTGGCCATCATGGTGAAACCCCATCTCTACTAAAAATACAAAAAATTAGTTGGGCATGGTGGTGCATGCCTGTGATCCCAGCTACTCGGGAGACTGAGACAGGAGAATCGCTTGAACCCAGGAGGCGGAGGTTGCAGTGAGCTGAGATCATGCCACTGCACTCCAACCTGGCCAACAAGAGGGACCCTTGTCTAAAAAAAAAAAAAAAAAAAAAATTCCACGTGTTAATTGTTCAAATATTGATTGATGGCCTACTATGTGCCAGGCACTTTGCAGGATATGGCAGCAAAGAAGACAGACATAGTCTCTGCTTCCATGAAAATTTAATCCAGAAAGTCTCATCATTTATGGGAAAGATTGGGGGTGAGGGTAAGAGGCAGAAGATGAAAGAGGAAAGGAAGAGGGAGGTAAAGGGTGATATTTTTGGAAGTAAAAAAGCTTATATATTACCTACATGTGATTCTCAAAGAGCTCTCCAATAATATGGAATAATATTCCTTAAACATATTGTCTCCTATGACAATCTCACTATTTGTGGTAGGTGAAGAAAATATCCCCATTTAAAGATGAGGTCTAGATTTTTCTCTAGGCCTAGAGAGTGACCATATTCAACATAAGGAGCAACCTGAAGGAGACTGCAGATCTTCCGGCCCTCGGTCCAGGGCTGTTCCACAATGTCACTGCACCTCTGGGTGTGAAGACTTGTCACTTTGGTAATTGGGGGGACAGGAAATAAAACAAGTAAGTTATAAAGGCAAGGGAAGGTCACTTGGTGCTGGCTGTTCTCTTTTGACTTCTTAGAGTGCGTCCTTCTCTGTTCTGTTCTGTGTCCTTGAGGCTGACTGCTAGACTGCATCACCTAGATTCTCTTGCAAACTGATTTGTGCTTGGGTTCACACAATGGGAGACACTGAAGGGAGAGAGGTCAGAGAGCAGGGAGGAAAGAGAGGCTGGGATACATCTTTCTTGCTCCTTCCCCACTTTCGGTAATGTCTTTGGCAGTAGCTGTGTTCTTCTGTAATGCTGTCTTTCCTAAATAACCCGTTCTTCATGGTTCTAGCTCCCATTGGGCTTCAGTAACAGTATTTGCTGTTCTTCTGTCTTAAGCCCTAGGGGTGATAATGGCTTCCCATAGTTGTTAGCCTGCGGGTGCCCATCATCCTTGCTTGTTCCTTTAACCTTGACCATATCTCTGCAAGGAGTCCCATTAAGGTCTCTTCACATGACCCATCTGGCTTAAAGGCTGTTTCCTGCTAGGACCCTAACTGAACATTCCTGGGCTTTGAGGGACACTGGCTGGGAAAGGATGAGATTATGAAAAAAGACCTGGTCTACTTGGTATTTATGCCTAGTGCTAGCCCTGAATGGGAGCTATATACCAGTAATAGATGGGGAAACACAGGAGGAGATACTGAAGTGTTGTGGGCATACTCCAGGAAATGTCAACATAACTCCAATATCACTTTCAGTGTGTTGCTTTCATCGACTCCATAGCCTGCAGTTGACTCCTCCTTCCTTTGTGCTCCCGTAGCTCCTGTTCACAGTTCTATAATTTTCCATTTACAAAAATCTTCCCTTTGAGGCTCTCCTTAAAGACAGAAAGAGATATCTTCATATTCTTCTTATTTCTCTGGTACTACCTAGTGCCCAACAGGCACTTAGTAAATGTTTGCTGGGTGAATTTATGTTCAGAGGTAATATCCCTAAGAAATCACAGTTATTTGACTCGGACATAGAAAGCTTGGGCAGTAATAATGACTGCAAATTCAAAACTGTGGCTTACTGTAGTTGCAGGATTTGTATTAAAAAGGTGTTTCGTGCTTTTATAACTCATCTTGTTCTTCATTTCAGCCTGTGTGAAACTGTGAATTGGTGATATGGGTGGGTGTAATCAGACTGGGGGCTGGCATGAGATTTCTCATTCATAGCCATATGTGGTTTGTGTGTTTCATCTTGACATAACCAAGGTCAGTCTCTTGATATTACTCATAATTTTATGGCTGTATCAATCTGCTATATCAATCTACTTCATGAATGGTGGAGTCCTTCACAGGCGAGGTCTGATGATGGATAAGCTCCCTAGGCTGCCAACTGGGCTAGTGTTAAAAAACAGACTTGCATATTATCTGCTTAGAAGTGACCTTGAGTTCAAAGAGTTAACATGAGAAAATATGGACGTTTTCTACAGACTTTATTAGATAGACTTCAGTCTGTTTCCATGGAGCTGTTGCCAAGGTACAGGCCATAGAAATTTCTCCAAGACAATGTTTCACTCCCTTAAGGCCCTCTTCTTAATTGGCATTGAATCTATCTAAATTTGAGAAATTCAACTAATTTGTAAATTTTTCTTTTCACTAGTTGAAATAGCTGCCTATCCTCACTTGACCGGAATCCTCCTACCCCACAGTATTGCTAAGAACTGGAGGGAAGGAACCTAAGTTAAAGATCGAACACATGACTCTTTGAACACTTATTTTAGGGAACTCAAATTGAAACAGATGACAAAGGATGTTTTTTCTGATGTCTGAATTTATATTTATTGGGGAAAATCTTTGAAGAGTATACATATTAAGTCACATTTTGTTATAACTTCAAAGGATCATTTTAGAAGACTAAAATTTATAGAATTGGGATTTTCAGGGAGACATGAGACATATAGTCATCATTGTGTACAGAGAGTACTGAGGGAAAAACGACAGCAGAGCTCATTCATTCGTTTTCCAAAACTCCACATGGTCCTACAGGGCTCACTTCCTTACTCCGTTCACATCTCTGCTCAAATGCCACCTGCTCTGGTCCCTCTATCTAAAAGATCAGGCCTCCTCTCCACTCTCTCTTTTCTCTGCTTTACTCTTCTTCATAACCTTTATCTCCACCTTACCTTGTATTATATATGCATTTATTGGCGATCTCCTGTCTAGAAATTAGCTCAGAGGGCTGGGACTTTCATGTGTTCCAGCAGCTAGGACTGTGCTTCCAGCAACTAGGACTGTGCTTACTGGACATTCAGAAAAGAATAAACCTATATGAAGTGAGACACTGGCAACCTTCAAAAGGGTAGCCTTAGAAAAGTAGCTCACAAGCCAAACTTGTCACAGTCGCCACTTTTATGCTCTCAGTAAATTCCTGTAGTTAGACAAGTCATTAGGAGAGGGGACTAATGGTTCTTGCTGCACATAGAACCATCCATAAACATGGTCTGAGATGTGTCCAAAGGTCCCCTTAACTAAAAACATCGCCACCTACTTCTCCCCTCATTCCCACGATGCTCGAAATTCCAAAGAGTAGTTCCCAGGAATCATCATCATTTTGACCTTATTAAGGCATTGGACTGCTTGAGAGAGCCAGCAAATAATCAGACTGTGTTGACCTGGTTATCCAATCAGGACTCACGGCCACCTGTGTGTAGGAAGGTCTGGAGCCTGTGGCCCCAGGGACTGGGCAATCAGAGGCAGCGAGTCATCCTTGACACAAGGGGGCGGGAGAGAGCAGTGATAATCCAGGGGCTGGAAGCCTGAGACAGCCTGGCCTAGGAGGCACCCCCTACACTAGGGAGAGTTGGGTAGTCTTAAGGTAGAGGGACTTCCCATGGAGAGATCACAGTGTGATTCCTGGTTCCTTCACTTATGGATTCTAAGGATGATCTTGGGCAATTAATATCTCTGCACCTGTTTTCTTTTCTTTTCTTTTTCTTTGTTTTGAGATGGAGTTTTGCTCTTTTTGCCCAGGCTGGAGTACAACGGCACGATCTCGGCTCACTGCAACCTCCGCCTCTGGGGTTCAAGCGATTCTCCTGCCTCAGCCTCCCGAGTAGCTGGGATTACAGGCATGCGCCACCACACCCAGCTAATTTTTTGTAATTTTAGTAGAGACAGGATTTCTCCATGTTGGCCAGGCTGGTCTTGAACTCCTGACCTCAGGTGATCCGCCCGCCTTGGCCTCCCAAAGTGCTGGGATTACAGGTGTGAGCCA